AATTTAGCTGCTTAGAGGCGAGGTAAGGCACTGAAACATCAAGAATTGGCAGAAATACAAACGTCCTCCAGAATATAACAGGAAATGATTTCTGTGATGATTGTTGCTCTCAGAAAAGGACTACCAGAGCCTAATAAAGTCAACTGACGGTGCTTTCAAGGTTGAAGGATTGCAGAAAGTGACGCTCCTAGGAACAGTCAGAATTTTAGGGAGAGTAGTGAAGCTTCCTAGCCCATAGTAGAGTGTTAGAGCTGAAGTGATATTCATACCACAGGTGTGTAATTGAGGTTAAAACATTGAAATATATATTCTGTCGTTGGACCAAAAGACTGGTATACACCATGAAAAATGCTTTATAAACTCAATAGTGAAGAAATTCCTTCTCATTCAATATAGCCAATACATAAGCAAAGAAGTGTCATGGGTCTAGGCAACAGAACAATTTCTACTTTAAAAATGAAGTGCTTTGCAACGCAGTTGTTTCCTACATGGTGATCTGATTCATGCCTGTATCATTAATTTGTTTCTTCTTTAACTTTCTGAAAATGGGTCGAACATGATCTGAATTGGCCCAGTTTCTGTATATAATGAAGCTTTCAGGCGACACTATCCCGTAAGATATTTGTACAGTTTTGAATTAGGTTCCCGCATAAAGGATTCCACTTTTGTTCTTAAACCATTTTTGACTGGATATTTAAATTGCATAGAACGAATTGAGGAGCGCGTCACCACTGCTCCTATGCAGGCGGCGATTCTCAATAGTGTGGCAGTTCAGTATGGCGAATACCTTTATGCTAGATCACACACTTTGCGCAATTACGTCCCCCTAATGTCTAGCTTTCAGTGTTACCGGGTTCGTGGTTTTATTTACGAGGGAGACAAGGGGTGTTTGTAAGTTGTGCAACAAAAGCAGAATTTCCCTTCGGAACATCACACAGCAACGAGTACTAGTGTCTTACATCCTGCAGGCGAACCGAGTTGGTCCAAAACTAAAAGGCTTCATCGTCTAGTCGTAATGATTTGCTTTTGATCTGTAGTCGTACTGCACTGCGGCTTCTAGAATTTTCCTTGTTCTTCACTTGCCTTTCTTTCGGATTGACAGGCTGGAATAGCACTCAAATGGTGGCTGTTCACGATACTATGCCTCAGTGCAGCCACCTAATTTAGGGTGGCCATGCCCTAGGGTCCTGTTTCTTAGCTTTCGTTTGGACTCTCTGGTTTAGCCTTCTCCACAAGCGTTATTAAAGAGTAAACAACCCCAAGTGCCTCTTGTTATTTATAATTTCCTTCCCTGTGCAGGAAGCTCCCTCTAGCCTTCGGGGCAACTGGTAATGCTGCGCTGATGCTTCATTTTTCATTGATTTTGCTTATCGTGTAAAAATGTTTTCGTAATGTGTCTTTCGTGTGGAATCAGCTGTTTCTTAATTGCTATGCAGGGGTGTTGCCCGATTTCCTGCGGTTTTCCTCGGTGTTAAGTCGACTTTACAAAATTACTTAAGAACTTTAATTTGAATCCGGTCTTTAAAGCTGCCTCTGACAGACACCTTGTCTAGCTGTAGGCATTCGAAACATCGTTTGAAGGTGAACCTATAAAAGTCCTGGTCACACTCTACGACAGGGACTAATTTGGAGTGATTAAGACCAATTATTGAAAGTTGACCAATTCGAATATTACGTTTACCTTGAGCAGTCTACTTCAGCTGAGGAAAATCATAAGTCAGATATGATATGTAACAAAACCAAGTT